AGCAAGGAGGAACTCGAAAGCACCATGACCTTGTTGCGGGAGCGAGAAACCACGATCCGTGAACTCAAGGAAGGAAGCGAGGAGCTAGAAGAGAAGCTCCAACGACTCCAGAAGAGCCTCTCGGTGTACGAATCCACAATCGAGTCGCTCAAAGGAAAGGAAACGGAAACAGAAGTTGAACTCGAAAAGGTTACGGAAGCACTGGAAAAGCACGATGCGCGAATGGKGGAACTCGAAGAGACTGATCACATCCGACAGAAGGCTACGGAAGAAATGGCCAACGCGACAGCGACCGCTGCGGCGTCGTCGGCTAAGCTAATCCTCGAGCTCCAAGAAGCTCTCAAGGAACGCGACGAGGAAATCGCCGAACTGGAGGCCGATCTCGAAGAATTCGAAAGCGAGATCGAGCGGCGGAACAACTCGCAACACCAGCGCGAGCAGCCGCAATCTGGTGAGCTTCGGACATTGCTCGAAGAAAAGGAAAAGCGAATCCAACAACTGGAGAAGGAAAGAATGGCTCGTGCGGAACAGAGTCGTTCGTTGCAAGAAAAGGAAATCTCAGAGGAATCGATGGAGATAATCCGAGACCTACAAAATTTGTTGTGCGAACGAGACATGAAGATCGAATCCCTCAAAGCAGATCACGCGAAAGAAGTGCACCAGCTCCGGGGTGAGCTCGAGGAGACTGCAAGGAATCACGCAAAAGACATGAAAGTATTGGTTAATCGAACAAATGCATTGCAGGTTTCCCTCGAGGAGAAAATGAATCGGGTTGCAGCACTGGAAGAAACTAACCGGGAACTCTCAGGCGAGAGCTATGGATCGGATCCCATGGCGAATGCTGTGGAGGAAGCGGCGAGGAACTCGCAGCGGATGGAACGAACCTTGTCGTGGTTCAGTCCCAGCACCGAGAAGAAAGCACAAGTGAGTTGCGTACCGGAATCCTTGGATTCTTCCACTGCGTTTCTGACCACTCCCTGTACGAGTACGAGCAGTAGCGACGATTCTACAACGGAGGATTGTACCAGCAGTGACGAGGAGAAAGAACCAGACCGACGAATGGTTGGTGCGCCGAGGCTACCGCCGCTGCACTCAACTGAGCAACCAGAGATTCTTGACGACCAGGGCGCCGTGACCGGAAGACGATCCTCGTTTTGGAGCATGATGCGAAACCAATGATCGGACAAAACCAAGAATGAACGCGAATGAGTGCCGAATCCCGATTCTGAGAAAGATTTGGTCAAGTGATGGTTTCTCGTTCGGACGAAACGATCCAATTGCGTGTTCTCTCCTGCTGTCAAATGTTTGTGTACCAATGCTGAACACAGCTCTCGAAAACAAGTCAGTGACCAATCGTTCTTCCACGACTGTGTTTGGAAGAATGGAGACAACGCAGAACCATACTCGGTGTCTGGATCACTACAATAGCTGTATTTGGTTGCATCGATGTGCTTTTTGTGTCGCTTACCGACATGCTTTCGTGATAAAGAATCTAAGACAATCTTGTTTGCGGGAGAGACATGTGATATTGATATCGATTTTATTACTCTTCCAACTAGGCAGTCGTACGCACCTACGTACGTACCATCATCCAATACTTACCGGTACTTCCTCCGTCCCATATTAGATGTATCTGTTGACCTTTTTTGGCGTCCCACGGAAGAGTGTAGCGTAAAGTACGTACTTCTTTGCGTTCTTTCCTTTCGCAATAGTTGTTACAGCTTCAGTGAACTCTTATTTCCCCCATCTCCCAACTTGCATCACGAGTACACGATACATACGTACCGTAGGTACATACTCGTACTTGACGGAATAAAGTCGAGTGAGTCTTATCTTTGTACCGTACAGTAGGAGACTTTTGGAATGACTCCACTCCTACCGTACATCAGGGCAGGGGTCATAATTTAGAGGGGTGCGCGACAGTTTTTTTTCCTCGTACAGGATCAGAATTTCATTATTCCATGTGTGTCCGAAATTGGAAAATGTCACCCCAGGATTTTTTGACAACTTCATTTTTACTGCATAATACTAGTAAAACTATCCAACCTTTAAGCAGTTCCAACATTATCAAAAATACTACCATTAGAATTTTTGAGTACTCTATCTAGCCCAACTTTTCATGAGGATTCTGAATATGCCAATATGTTATGTATCAATTGAAATGATAGTGTACMTTTTCACTATTGAATATTGACTAGATTACTAGTAGAAATTACTACTGGGGAAGTAGTGAGAGAATCGGATGAAGGACAGACAGTCCGAATTTTTGCTAAGGACTAGACTGRTGGGACTGACTGGACAAAGGACAGACTATTTCTACTGCAAATAAAGTACTAGTCTGTTACTACCACCAGCCCTGTGTCAGCACTTAAAATTTTGAACCACAGACAGCATTAAAATATGACAAACACTTACTACTTGACTCTCAACTATATGAGAGACGTGCATACGAAGTTTGAAAATCAGAGAGTGTTTGGAAGTGTTCCTGTGTAGGGGGTCTTTCAGGTACACTTTTAGCAGTGATATGCAGTAAAAATTGAGTTGTCAAAAAATCCTGGGGTGACATTTTTCAATTTCGGACACACATGGAATATGAGTTTTCGATGCGACGCGCACCCCTCTAAATTATGACCCCTGCATCAGGGGTCATAATTTAGACCCCTGCCGTACATACGGTAACCCAGGAAACGTACGTACGTACCTTATTCTGTTCCTTTCGTTCTGTATCCTACTGTAAGAAGTACTTCTACTTCTATTACAGAAAGTACGGTACCCTATGTACTCGTACCAGTACATGAATCGATACGAGCGAAAGTGAAATCTAACACAAAAATGCCAATTTCTAACGCTTTTTTAACGATTTGACCGTTACGACAATATTCCCCCAGACATTCTCGCAAAGTGTAATAGTAATTGTAATCGAGAAATCTTGATGCAGGTCTAGACTGTGGATGTTGTGTGGATTTCTCCGATAGGGGAGGCAGTTCACGAATGTCTCTCAACAATTCCATAGAGGTGCCGAACAACAGTTCTTCGTTGCTCCATCAGCCTCCCACAATCCCGTTCCATTTCTTCATCGCTGTCGCAACTCCGTCGATTGTCGATCTTCGCATCCTTCGAATTGCCAAAACGGATAGCAAACAATCAGAATAAAGCAAGATAAAATACACAAAGGACGACATGGAGTCCCCTAGACGAAAAGGCGAGAGCTTCCAAGCGAGAACCTACCGGCGGATCTTCTGCACGATCATGCCGATCGCCACCGTGATTGCTATTGCCGTTCATCATTCTCGGGGAGGACGATTGCACACCGAAACCTACCTCAAGGGGGAAGCTATCGTCGAGGAAATTGTTGGTTTTTCCGACATGTTGGGGATGACCACTTCTTCCTCCACCGCCGCTACCACCGTCCAGGAAGACCGACGGGCAGCGCAGCAAGACTTTCGAGACGTCGCTGATCAAACGGGCACGGACAAGGTGATGGGGTACAAAACGTTGCCCAGGTGCCTTGGAGACAATTCTGAGTGCCTCCACGGTGGCGCCGAGCGCCCTTCCTGTCGCTCCTGGGGCCACTTCTACGACACGATATACAATCGGTGGCTTGGGGAGTACTCAACCCCGGATGCCAAGCCCATTCAGTTTCTGGAGATTGGCTACTTCCAAGGTAAGGGCTTTGAGGCATTTTCAAACTTTTTGCCGACCGCTGAAAAACACTCAATGGAGATATCCTGCATCGAGCCCGGACCCCGTGCAGAAGGAAAATGGCCCTGGGGGAACTTTGCAGAGAAACATCGTTGGTACAAAGATCTGAGAAGCTCCAACCGGTTGCACTGCGGGGATGCCAGTGACTACAATTTTTTGAAGGAGAAATGGGATACTTATATGAATCGCCCAGATGCTCCCCCACTGATGGCCGTCGTCGATGATGGGGCCCACCTCCACGACCAAATGGCGGCGACGCTATTTTTCTGGTTTCCCCGTATCCAACCCGGTGGCATTCTGGTGGTGGAAGACGTCCAGCCTCACAGCGAGGCCAACCGATTCCGGACCCACATCGTCCCGCAGGTGATGAAGGATCTGCACTGGTGTGGCGGTACTGGGAGTCACACCGTGTCGAACGATCCGCTCTGCTTTCCAACAATCCAGCCCCTTCTTGAGGGGGTCCACTGCGAGATGCACATTTGCGTTTTTGTCCGAAACAACGAGCCTGCCTACGAGCCCGACGAGGCGACCTCTAGGACGCCTCCCGAGGCCTTTATGGGAGCTCAGAAGTGCCTGTTTGGTCCACACGATTAGCACCCGGGACCCTAGCCGCAAGAGAAGCGCAACATCATAGTTGGAGGGCAATGGCAAACGCAACCACATGTACGCGTTTGCCCTGTTTGATTCGCAATGCATTTTTCGTGGAAACATCATACAGCAGTTTTAACTTTAGAACGATAAAAAGATCTAATGCAAACTACGGTACCGCTTACTTGTGCACTTTATTTATTTATGCGCAATGAAACCACATGTTCATTACCTTTCGGTTAAGCCATTTGATAGTTCTTGGATCCAAGGATGGCAGTAGACTTACTATGTCACGTCTATTCATAGATTAAAAGTCGAAATCGTACCGTAACTTCCAATCAATGGCTTCAATTTTCGATTATTCTTCGGTCAGTTGACCCAGATTATCCAGCAGAAGAACATTAACCTCATATTCGCCGCGCAGACGAAATAATATTTTGAGCGCCAAATCTTTGAAACTAACAAAGGCGGTTGGATCAGAGGTGGTTGCTTTTGACATATCGTTGCCACATCTCCTCGTGAAATCCGGAATTTGTTCTGAATTTGAGAACACCTGGGTCCACTTGGCATCTTTCATTTGACTCGGACGAATCTACAACATCATTTGTCACCCCGATTATCATGGATAAGCGAAATGGTTCCGCACTATGTACTTGGCACTCTACATATCCTTGTCATCGATTAACTCGCCGTTTCCCCGACGTGGGACAAAAGTTCATCAACACGTTTTTCTTGGGTGGTCTGCTGCGCCCGTCCAAATGAATCGATTCTCGTACCGTTCGGCTCAGTTTCTCGGAGCTTTGTGTCTCGCAAACCAACGACTCCCAAAATCAAAAGCAAAAAGACGGGGTGAAGCGACCCGGAGCATCGGCACAAGCATTACCATCGCGTGGCTCACGAATGAATTCCTCCATCCATTTGCGCCCGAATCACCGAAATGTGATGAATGCATAAAAACACAAGCACAAGATCTACCTTTTGCGCTTTTCCAACCAGACTCTTTGGCGTCCCGTGGTGGTAATCCAAAATCAACTAGCGATATTGTCTGATCTTGATCGCCTTGTATTTTTTCGTTCTCCTTTTCTCTTTTCTTATCATTGTTTCGTACCGTCCACGACGGATTCATGACCGGAGGCTTGCAACAGCCGACTCGATTGCGCTCCGCGGCAGTTCTGTGTCATTTGCCCCCGCTTCGGTGTGTCGCGTGGTACTGCCCGTGCCGATCAGGAGGGTCTCGAGCTCGTCCAGACACCCCGCCTCGATCAGGAGATTCCTTGTCTTGCTGGGGTTCGTTTCGTCCGCTCCGAGGGGCTTCCTTGCCAGGGCCTCCACCAGCTCGCACACGCGCCCGACGGTGCCCGCGTGGCGCTTCCAACAGTGGGTCCGCTGCAGGCAGCGGACCATCATCCCCGAGAGCCGCTCGACGTCGAGGAGGTCGTCCCCGAACGAGACGATTTTCTTGCGGGTGGCCACCAGAAAAATCCCCAGGAGGTTCCACAGGACGGCCTCTTCGTGGGGGTTCCGCTCCGCCCACCGGTAGACAAAGGGGACGGCGCCGACAAAATGCAAAAAGTCGTCCCCCGGATTTTCCGCCCCCACGCCGGCAGCAGGCGGCCGCGGCTCCCGCTGTCTTGGGTCCTTCGTTGGGCCCCCGAGCCCGCAAAAGACGCGCAGCAGCCTGGTTACCAGGGGCCCCAATTCGTTTCGGTCTCCGGGGCCGAGCACCGGATCGGCCACCAGGTTGAGCACCGTGCCCAGAATCGGTACCAGCACGCGGGAGGCCGATTCGGCAACGACCCCTGCATTTTCCGCTGGCGGTGGGGACGAAAGTGGCCGCTCCAGGCGGTCTTTCACGGAGCGATCGAGCGAGGCGGCGGCCGAGACGGCGGCCTCCACGAGCCTTTTGGCGGTGTCCCCGCCCATCCTCGAAACGACCGACGGAAAGTACGTGGCATTGGCGCAGAGGCTCCAGGCGTCCTCGCTCCAAAGTGGCGGTGGAGGTGCTCCGGTTGCGGTTGCGGTGGCTCGGTTGGTTTCTGTGGTGGTTGTTGCTGCTGCTGTTTCGGCGGTGGTGGTGGGTTCCTCCGACACGGGGGACAGCACGAGGCCATCCAGCCCGTTCTCGTCGACGAAATCCAGCGCCAGTGCTTCGGCCTCGGGAGATGACCCGAGGAAGGCATCGCGCAAGATTCGAACAATCCGTTCTTCCGGCAGAGAAGGACAAGACGCGTCGTCGTCGCCGTCGTTGCTTCTACCGTCCCCCTCGGGGGGCTCTCCTTGGTCGCTGTTGCTAGTGTTGTCGCGGGCGTGCCTGCATTCCCGGAAAACCGCCAGCAGGATGCGGACACCATCCAAGTCGTGCACGGCTCCCAGGGCACAAATCCTTCGACCCTCGTCGGTTGTGCCGTCGGTGGTGGGCTCTTGCAATCGCTGGGCATTGCTGTCGTTTTCTGGGTCGTCCCGAGCCGTCGTTGAGGGTTGACGAGGGGCCACCAGCTCGTGGAGTCCCCACAGCAGGGGGGACAGATCGCCCCGTGCCGTGGCAGCGAGATCCTGCTGCTGCTGTTGCTGCTGCTGTTGTTGTTGTTGCTGTTGCTGTTGCTGCTGCCATTCGCTCTCTGTGGGTCCGTCCCCCGACGGCAGGATGGTGTTTTGGTAGCGAAGCCTCCGGAGCCGTTCCAGCTGGTCTTCGATGCTTAGCAAGCCATCGGAGACCCCGCGGAACGGATCGGCGCGGGAATCGTTCGCAGCGGTGCCGGAGACGCGATCGTTTTTGCTCCCGTTTCGATCGGCGTCGGGTTCGGCTTGGTGGCTCTGCCCGGAAGCACGGCCACAATCGCGGGAGGCGGCTTCCAGGGAGATTCCCTCGTAGTGCGAGACCGGGGACGCAACCACAAAAGCAAGGGGCCGCGGAGGGGTCGATGCGCCGGCAAGTGCTGCCCCGGTGCCTTTCTCCTCCTCCTCTCGCGGCGCCGGGGCTGCTTCCTCTCCCGCCGGGGTCCTTCCCCGCCTCTTGGATTTATGGGTTCTGGTGGGTCCCTGCCTTTCTTTCCCAAAGCCGAGGTCCCGGAGCTTGGTTTCGTTTCTCCTGCGCTTGGCCGCCACGAATTCCACGTAGCTGGAATACCTCACGCCATCCAGGATGCGGACGGTTTCGTTTCCGCTGGCCTCGTCGCTGATGGCAGCAGGATCGTGCTCGGTGTTGTTCCMCTTGTTGCCCTTCTTGCCGTTGTCGTTGCTGCTGTCGTTGCTGCTGCTTCTGCTCTTTCTGGCCCCCTGTTCTTCTTCTTGCTTTCCCCCCCTTGTCCTCTTTTTGGCCCGTCCGACCGGACCTTTCCTGCGGTCTGTGGCGTTGCTGTTGTTGTTGCCATTGCTATTGCTATTGCGGCAAGTGTCTCTTCTCCTCGACGGCATGGCAGTGGTTGTTGGTTTCGGGCTTGTCTGCGAATCCCACGGCGGTGCAAGGCAACAGCGGACCGCAGGATTGTTTGGGAATTTGGTATGAACAGAAAGATACTGTACGAGAGATGTACTCGTAAAGGTAGTACGAGTTACTGTACGCGAGTTACGAGTACGGAACTTGCTGTACGGCATGTTTTTCTTTCAGCTTGTCCGTGTCGGTGCTCCGCGTTAGAGGTGTTGGGGGTAGTAAATCAATCTACTCTGTGTGTGTTGTTGCTGATGATGGTTATGTGAGCTGAGGTGAGTCCGTTGATGCTCATAACCTGTGAAATGTTGATAGGCTCCTTAGTGTATGATAATACGTGGTTTACAATAAAGAGTGAGGTTATTCACTATCTACTCGTGATTGTACTGTCTCACACCAACTACAGTACGGTAAATCTACGGTATGGTACTACAACTACCGACGTATCATGTCCCCCTATTATTTACGTGTACTATTCGTACGTACTACTCATATTTCATACGTTATGGTACGTACGTCACCGGAGCGAGAACACTTCTTCATTTCTTTACCGGTACAAGTGACTCGTACCGTACCATTCTCGGATAGAGTTTGTTGAGCAATTTGTTAAGCAAGGGGAAACCAAGACTAATACCGGTAGAAGTACTGTACGTACCGGTACCTGGTATTTCGTATTTACTATTACCAAGTACAAGTACCCTACTTATTTTTCTTACGATTGGTGACCGGTCAGCATCTCTTAAATAATTTACGGGTACTCGTACTTCGGTACGTACTTCGAATCAAAGATTGCAGTCACAGTGCTTAAGTACAGTACGATACCGGGAAAAAGTTGAGCATTTTACGATTGGTGGGTGTCTGGCGTGTCTCAATTGATCAAGTACTAGTACGTACGGTACTGCAAGTGACTTCGATCAAAGTTTTGTTCCAACCTGTCACAGTGGTCACGCATTCAAAGATGGAGCACGGTGTGAAGCCTTTTACGATGGATGACCGGCATCTCTTAAACAAGTGGTACTTCTTCAAATCGACCAGTCACAGTGGTTACCGTATTCAATTGTTGTGGAAGGTGTAGTGTTTGTTAAACAAGGAGAAACAAAGAAAGCACAAGTTGAGCGTTTTAGAATTGGTGACCGGTCAGATGTTTATGGGAATGACCCAATATTTCTGTTCATGAGAAAGATGTGGAAGACCCGTGCCTTATTCCTACCCAACTATGGTATCACTATCTTTCTGATACCAAACTGTATGTAACAATGGATCTGACAATCCGACGGAGAGCTAGGAAAGTTGTGGCTCGCGGATGCCCAACTCGAAGCGCTCATAATTCGAAAGCAGGACCTCTCCTAACGGCAAGCATTCTATTGAACAGTGGCAACGATTTCTCCCGTGATGACAATGACAACTCGCATCTTCCTCTTCGCGCTCGCAGCCGTGGCAACCACATTGCCTTCTTCCGTGGCTACCCCAATCGTTGATTTTGATTCCTCAAGGATCGTCAACGGAGTCGACGCGGAGCCCTGCCAGTTTCCCTATTTTGCACAATTCGAATCAGGCTGTGGTGGCTCGCTCATCGCGCCCGACATCGTCCTAACCTCAGCGACTTGCAAACCAGTGAATGACGAGGGGGTTGTAGTAGGCGCTTACCGCCGGGGTCGGGACAATGAGTTTGGAGCCAAAAAACGCTTTTGCAAGGAATTCGTCGTGCATCCCAATTCTATGCAGAGGCTTAAATACGATTTTGCCTTGTGCAAGCTCAACAAACCTGTATTCATCGACGAATCATTTGTCAGGCTGGAATTGAGCAAAAATGTTTCTGCTCCAGTTGGTGGAACTAGAACAATTTCCATCGGAATGGGCTGGACGAACAACAAGGTAGATGTTCTGCGAAACGTCACTATTCCGACAAGAAGCAACGGTGACTGCAAGAGAGATTATTCATGGTTTGACCGCCGCACCCAACTTTGCATGGAATACTACCCCACAATCACCCTACCGCCCTGTAACGGTGTCTCGGGAGCTCCAGTTGTAGAACGAGTCTATCAGGGCGACGGCTTTTTTGTGGACGTACAGCACGGGCTGACCTCCGATGGAACGTATTGTACGCATGGTTTTAATGCCCGCATCAGCGGGGAGATCGAATGGATCCGGTCCACTTCGTGCCTGACGCTCCACAGCATTGGTTCCATGTGCGACACCATCACTTCGCCATCCACTTCGCCATCCATTTCGACATCCACTTCGCCATCCATTTCGCCATCCATTTCGACATCCACTTCGCCATCCATTTCGACATCCANTTCGCCATCCATTTCGACATCCACTTCGCCATCCATTTCGACATCCATTTCGCCATCCATTTCGACATCCATTTCGCCATCCACTTCGCCGCCATCCATTTTGACATCCATTTCGCCACCCAGTTCGCCATCCATTTTGCCATCTCTGATCAAAGAAGCGACATCCCCTCCAGTCATAAAATCGAGATCCACTTCGCCGTCCACTTCGCCGTCCACTTCGCCGTCAAAAAAGTCCAAGGCGACGAAAAAGTCCAAGGCCGGGAAGGCCCTCCGCGCCTCCCGCCCCATTACCCTCAACTAAGAACCAAGTCGCTATGAAAGAAACAAAGGCTCTGAAAACGTCTTGGAGTTCAGATATAAGGATACCAATATCAATACATCTAATCTATCCGACTCCATTCATCATGGAGGGAGTTGCAACCAGTGTAGAAGGTAGAAACAGCCATCAATTGGTAATGCAACACGTCGGAAATCTTGTCGTTTATGACATMAACAGACATGCTCTTTGGGGTTGTTGTTAACCTGGGAATAATGGATGGATCCTTACTGCGTGTCAATATGTGGTTTGCAATAGAGGAGCACACAACTAGCAGGAGATAACATCGGCTTTAGTGGCCATGCTCGTTGAACTTAGTGTAGAGGAGAATTGCCTTCATTCTAGTATGCTTCCCAGGCTAGACACTAAGGCAAGTTTGTGGATCAGTGTAAATGTAAATGCAAATAATTAGCAATAATAATCTTGATTTTTGCTGCTGTATTGGTAGTTCTCCACAACGCATTGGTGGTGTCCTAAACAACTTCTTCTTGGTAGCATGCTACATCATACAACAAGCATCTTGTAACCAAGCATTGCATACTATCATAGCATAATAGAAGCTGACAGTTCTTGCTAAGTGGGAGAAAGCAGTTTGGTTTGTTTATCAAACACTGATTCTTGTATCTAGGCAGCGTGGAAATGATGATGATGTGATATAATTTTGGAGGAGATCGCCCACGGTGTGCAATCAGAATGCAACCAGAATTTGTCCCTATGTAGCTCTGTGTCAAAAATCGTTGGGGGCAATCAAGTGGACCTTCACCTGACCATAATTTTGTCTGGCAGCCAAGATGGCATCCAAATGTCTGCTCCCAAATCCTATCGGAATAGTATCCCACCTTCAACTAATCCCTATGGAGACTTTAACAAAGCCTCTAGTAAGAAAGACCAATCAATGTCTTAAGCTGTTTACTAAGGTTTACCTCCCTCTCTCCTAACTCTGTATACTGACCAAGGTTGTCATTGAATTTGTAACTGTAGGATTATTTGTTACTGTCCCATACTAATTATCAAGTTGCTCACTTTTTTGCTAGTATTCACGTGCATTGGAATACAAAAAGAATACTGTAACTAAGATCACACACTACTAGTAAGAAATACTAGTTATTTTTTGTTCAAATTCAAGCACCTCAATGGAGTACTACATACATAGTACTAAATACCTTTGATACAAGAATACAGTATTCTGAAATTGTATTTCTGACCTCAAAAAATTATATTCTGAACTTTTGCTGGGCAAGACCCATTTCTTTCACATTCATGTCACAAGTACCTCTTGTATGTACTCAAACAAAGTTTTGTTTTCAACTGAACCCAATTCAATCCAATATATATTCCTTGTACTAATACTCCTTTCTTCAAATCCCTTTTTTACTTTTAAAAAAAGAGCTTCTTCATTCAATAGAACTATTTCCAGTACAAATGTACTTAATTTTTACTTACAAAAATGGCAACAAGAAAAAATGAATTCAATTGTTAAGATGGAAAACTTCATAAAAGGTGCATCATGATTAGTTCAGAAGCAATAAGAAAAAAAGAACTCCTCCTGGAGGATCACTATCATTGCAAAGAAGAAATGAGGCAATGGCACAGAGCAAAGCAGCAGCAGCCAAATGACAAGACTTACCACCAACAAGAGGATATTAACATTGTTTGTATAGTAGGAGTGCTGGTGGTGCTTCTAGTAGTAGTACTATTTATACAGTACTAGAACCTATTTTTTGGCAAAAGCAAATTTTAGTAGTATTCCATCAAAGTTACTACTTGTACTACTACTAGTAGTAGTATTTCATTCTTATTTTGTTATAACAGAAAAATAGAGTGGATTCTCATCACATTCTGGCAATATTACTAGTAGTACTAGTAGTAGTTGGTACTGCTCACCATCATAGGAAGACCAAAAAACTGCTGCTGTACTTTGTAAAATCCATTGCCAACAAATACCACAGAAATTTTATCAAAAAGAAGTTGCCACAACAAGAAAATTATCAAAATTTATGGTGATTCTGCAAACCTCAGGGAATATATAACAATGACCACCATCCACCAGCAGCAATGATAAGAATTCCAGTCAGGAGCAGTACCACAACTACTTTCAATCACAGTACTGCCAGAATATTCCCACAAAGTTGATTAGGATAATGCAACTCAACATTCTGATGTTGTGAAGAAGGAGTTATTTGCTGCTTGGAGCCATTGGGGAAATGATGTATCCTTCTGTCAAGATAGGGCACCAATCAATGTTGATAACGTGCCGCCCTCTTTGTTCTTCTTGATTCTACTGGCAGAAGATGATAATGCTGCTAGACAATTGCCAAGAAGAGTTGCAGCAGTGGAGGATAAACAACAACCTCCCCTACTCCTGAACAAGCTCTAGAGGCTGAAGAAGCTCCACCATCAACTATCATCTGAAATCCATATGCAAAGAGAAATAAAACCACCACCAAAAAATACTTGTAGTAGTACTAGAAGAAGGCACCAACCACCAGCACAACCAGCACCACCTCCATCACCACAGCAAGTTTGGGCGCCGGCTGATAGTAAGGATGGACAGGACAAGCCAGCATCTACAGCAGCAGCAGCAGTAACAAAACTAAAGGATCATCCTCCAGTAGCTCTTCCTTGTCCGGAGCTTCTCTTCCAAGAGTCGCACCATGAAGAAGGCAAAAAGAAAGACAGACTCCTGGAGTATGCCAAGAAGACTATTTGGAATTATGTTAACGCCTTCAATACTGTATCAGGAAGTCATGATTATCAAGATACAGAGGCAAATACAAAAAAGTAGTATGCAACCAATGTCACTAATCCAGCAACTAATGATCCTGGAGACGATTTGTGTATGAGATGTTCACGAAGAAGGTACTCATGGCAGATGGGATGACTGAGGACTACTTATTCTACAAGAATGTAACCGCAAAAAACAATGCTGTAAGCAAGAAAATAATGGATAAAGCCCTGAAAGTTTGGGCAAAGCACTTGAAGAACACCAAGACCGGTGGTCCATTGGACAAAAGCCCTCCGCGACGCCCGCCCCATTTCCTTCGACTAAGATCCATGTCGCTAGGAAAGAAACGAAGGCGTCGAGTTCCGCTAAAAGGGTATCAATATCAATACATCTCATCTATCCAACTCCATTCCTCATCGAGGGAGTGATAGCCACGAGAGTTCCGGCTAATAACTTAGGCCTCGATAAGTAAGTTATATTGATACGGTTTAGAAGAAAAGAACTCCTTCGAAAAGTCTATTGCACAAGGTCTTTTTTATTTTTTTAAAAAAAATTAGCACGGTATGTCGTCGATTCCAAAGTAGCTACGTGTAGGCAACGGGCAGTTCGTCAAATTCATCGTCGTGACCGACATAATTACTGGTGACGAAAGAATTAGAGTCCTCGTCTTCCTCGTCATACGAATCACCCCCTTCTCCCTCATAAGCATAGCCATCGTCATCAAAGTCATCGTAATCGTAACCGTACTCAATATAATCGCCACCGTCGGTGTAAATATTCGTGCACCCAATATCTTCGGCGTAAGAAAAGTTTCTCAAGTGATACCAGACCGTCGAGGCGAATTTGTAGCCCTCCGTAATGCCGTGAGCCTCGTGCCAGGTGCGGTCGTCGGGAATTTCCACTCTGTCGTCGGGAATCTCGTTAAGAATATTGGGCCAGATCACGGCACGGCCCTTCTTTGGTTGGACACAAATTGGTTCTTGGAATACTGTGGAGTTCGATGCATCCGGGTACGCCCGCTCAATCTTGGGAAAGCAGGTCTGGCCTCCGTTCCCATCATCGACATCGTTCAAATAGAACAAAATAGTGAAAAGACGAGGACCATACATGGAGTCGTATTCGTCGGGGATTGCATCTGTGTGGCTTCCATACTTTTGACCGGGGACGTACTGGATGAAGTGAACGGGTTCCGCGTGGGTGGCAAATGGAATGTCAACCAGGTCCTCGATTTTCGACCAGGATTCCTGAAGAATCTCTTGATTCATGCAGTGATCGGGGTCACACCAAGCCTGCGTTGATTGGCAGACCCCGCCCATTTGGGTCGCCTCCGTATCGTTTGCTATACCTGCCCAGGTAGTGTCGTCCCCTTCAATGGCAATCTTCGTCTGAGCAATCATCTCGTCGCATTCTTCCTCGGTCAAAAAGTTTTCAAGTTGGATCAACCATGGGCCAACACCAACATCTGGATTGTCCTTTGCGGTTCGTGAAGAGGCATAGTCCGAGTCTTCCGGCCGAGAAAGGACTGTGGGAGAGTATTGGGAAAAGTCTCGAAGAATGCGCTCGTACATTCTGTCGTTGTCGCCCGTCTTCCAGATGTTTTGAATTCTTCCAAAGTCTCTGGCACAATGGACGGATTCGTAAAAAGTTTGCATTTCATAGGGTGTTGTTGGATGCATTAGCGAAGGGTCGAAGATCCAATTTCCGTCCTGGTCGTGAATCGGATTTCGGTCTTCGTCGTACAAATTGCCGTAGTTGTCGTAATGGATCTTCAATCGGTGACCATCTCCGTCATTGTAATACATGGTTCCATTCATATCGTGACTGTAAAAGCCCCGCCCGAATACATCCGCGGCATTGGAATCAAAATAGTCGTAGTTCTTGCAGGTCCGGCAGCTCGCCGGGCAGTACGTCAGATCCTTCCTTTGCAGTTTCATCGTCCAATCGATCCGATCGTTGATGGAATTGCACAGGACATCTCGTTCGAACCGATTTGTGCAGGTGGAAACAAAGGGATCCTCATCCTCAACGATGGCTTGTGCTGCCGCCAGCAATGGAAGCAGCAGCAAGATCGACAACGACGGGAACCTAGGGAGAGTTTGCGTCATGCCTAATACTAAACAAATGCTGTGACAAGGGAGTGGTTAAAAAGTTCGTATACGGTAGGTAGGTATCAGTTGCGATGCTTCGACTTCAATAATTTCTTTTCAGTGGCCAGAAAGAATAGTAGTCGTACGGTAGTCGTAGCTGTAATCGACATTTATTCGATCAGTCACTGTGCGGTCACAAGCAGTTGCCGTGAAATAGTTTCAAAATTGCCTGATTCAAACGGCACGTGCGTAGTACAAAGAAAATTGAGAGACTAGATCCTCCTTTCCGGTGCGCGCCTGTAAGGCCATTGCCGAGGAGAATGGTGTTCTTTCTAACGGCTTCACTAAAAATCAAAAGTCAAAAAGACTACGCACGAATCAGCAGCTTGCACAGTTTCGTGAAATTACAAAAAATAAGAAGTACTACTAAAAAATAACGATGACCCACGTAAAGTATTCGGAAGTGCTTCTCAAGTTTTCGGGATAACCGACTACCAGGTACCGGTACTCGTACTGGCAGCTGTACAAGAGACAATGCCGTCTTTGTCTCCACGGCGAGGAAGGAAATCCATGATTGCTCTAGAGCGCAGCAAATCCATGAGCGCAATTGAAAGCGATTCCTGCGAGAAAGAGGGAACACTGAAGAACCTTGAACGGTAATCTACAACTACCACCACCAAAAAACCAACTTTTCCAAGGATCGAAATATCCCTCAGCAACAACCAATCGAGGAAGTGAAAGACCACCAAGATGGTCACCATCGATAATACCACCGCAATCATCAGCAATCGCAACAACAGCAGTAGCCGGACGATCCGTCTCAGGTCCATGCCGGATAACAATGGAGTGTCCAAAACCTTCGAACTAAGCGAGACTGCTGCGTCAATCAGCGAGTTTGTCGTCGACTGTTTGGATTTGGAGGACGAGGAGGACGAGAACGCCACCATCGTGGTCGATATACCTCGGATCAGCGGCGACTGCCTTGGCAAGGTTGTGGAGTTCATGACTCATTATGAGAAAGAAGAGTTGAAGCAAATCTCGGGGAAACCGCTAAGAGGATCTACTTTCAACGAGGTAAGGAACGGTTTTTGTTGGTGATTGTCGAGAAGCTCTTTGTCCTTCTCTTGCTCTGACTCCTTCTCGCTGGATCTATCGTCTGTCCAAAGGAAGTGACTCAGAAATGGTACCGAGACTTTGTGAGCGACGAATCCCTAGGAATCGAGGGAAAGACTAGTGACCTTGAGGCTGCGCCCAGGCGTCTTATGGAGCTCCATGCGGCCGCCAATTTTTTGGGAATCGAACGGCTTCTCGACCTAGTGGTCCTTAAGATTGCCTACCAAATTATGAACAAGGACAAGGAGGGAATCCGCGTGTACCTGAACCTGCCCAAGATGACGAAGGAAGAAGAAGAGCAAGTTCGTAAGGACAAGCCGTGGATCTTTGAAAACTAGATCCCATCTAGGGCGATGGCAATGGCAATGGATCCATCCATTGATGCATGAAAATGTTGGAGATAAGGATAGTGGTAGAAGGATATTGACAACTTAAAATGGAAGTTTGAGATGAAAAAGAAGCACTTCATAACTAGTTGAACAACAAGGTTACTAGATGACAATAGCAAGTAATACCGTAGTGTGAGTGCTGGTAATACTAGTACTACCCTCGTTTGTCACTGATAAGAGCAGTACCATGAAGTGTTGAATGATGAGGAACTGGTGTAAATCTTTTGTTGCTCATCACTTGTGAAATGTTGATTTGCTCCATAATTCATGAGAGAATATATGGTTGCAATTGAACTTCCATTAGGGATAGGGAATGAAAGAGTATAGTTAATTGGGACATTGTGGCACAAGAGATGACTAGTAATGGGAGAGGATATGTCAGCTTCTTTCCAATGAGTACAAAAGGCCAAGTACAGCATGATTATCTGATGGATATTATTATAAGTTGGAATTCCAGAACAATTAATTGATACAGATGGCAGCAAGGAACAAGCAAGGAGCTGCAAACACATCTACCAGCAATACACTAGTATGGACAAAGCTGATCAAGAAGAGATATGGAATTAACCAAACATAGACTGAGCCACACTCATGGTCTGAGCTGCCGGAGCATCATTCCTACTAGTAAGCTTCCCAAGATACAAAAAAAATATTTTGTTCTGTGTTTGGAAGGAATGATTGCAGATTTAGTGCAGGATGAGTTCTGTACAGATGAAGCAACATCATGAAAGGAATGAGGATCAGAAATGATTTCCCAGTACATATGCCTAGACTAAGCAACCTTGAAAGAAGTAAACATTCCAATTGGTCAAATCAGAAGTTTTTGGTGGAAATTGAGGTGACATAGAGGGCAGAAACTTTCTGAAATTAGATGGGACAAGTATTTTTATAAATTTAGTTGCACAGAGCTAAAGGTGCATGATATTTTCAAAATTAGCTTTGTGCAAGGTTGGAAGCGGTCCACCAGAACACTCGTCTCTCAGATGATGGATATTTAATTTAATTACATCAACTTTGCAAACTTGGACTGAGCATTTAGTCTACTACTAGTCGTCTAGATTTGTTTTTATAGGAGTACTAGTGAAGCTCTGGATACTACTACTACTACTAGTATGCATCATGTATTATGTATGCATGTAGGTATGCATTTGATGAAGGTATGTATGTATGCATGAGGGTATATACTAGGTATGATCGTGCTTGTTGCAAGGTATGCTCGTGCTTGTTGCAGTACTAAAATCTGAAATACTGGGCTTCAAAATTAACTGTGATTTTACTACTAGTAATAATTTTTGGTGTTTGAGTACACCAGTGCCTTTTTGCCCAGTAGGGCCTGGTAGGATTCTACGATTAAAGCATTTATCGAAATACTGTACCTGGTACGGACGAGACCAGAGAGCAACCGTGACTCGATGATTCGTCGGGGAGCGCAAATTTTGAATCCAACCGACCAACCAAGCTTGCACCTTTGCTCTCACGATTTGTCTCTAGAGCCAATCGTGAAAGCGTACGCGAAATTCTTTGATGGAACGGATCTATTTCACCTCCTTTTGCTCTGCCCAACTATGGCACCTAAGTGGTTCCGCCCCAACGATACAAAATTAAAAATTGTACGAAGTGTCACAACTTCATAGCAAAACAGGACTGCTTTATGGCGGTTTAGATTTAGCAACAGCAGAAGAAAGAAAAGACTCAGCTCTGTAGTCTACCCCAAGCCAAAGGAAGGTTTCGTCTGATTGAAAGCACATCACCTGGAAAGGCCCTGAAAAGCAATCTTGAATAGCAATCATGATGGCACTGGATTGCGGTTCGTTGGAATTCTTGAGCCCATTCCCACTGCAGCCAGTCTCTGTTGACAATTCCGATTTCGATGAGCTTCCCGTCGAGGAACGCCTGGAAATCACCCGGCGCAATCTTCAAGAAGTTCAGGCTAACCTGCGCATCAAGAACAGCGAATATGAAGACCTACAGCAGGAAATGAAATTCCACGCAATCAAAAACGAAGAACTGATGGATGTTGTCAATGCCTTCCGATCCTCTTCGGTCGATCGGTCCCGCGACATCATGAAGGCCAAGGCGGAACAAAATTCCGAACTAACCCTGCAGAATCACGCGCTTCGAGATCTCCTGACCAAATCGGGAGAGGAAATAGCGGCTTTGCAACAGGAGATTCGGGAAAAGACTGCGGAGGGGGAAAGTCTGTCCTCCCAAAAGCGTTCCCACGAACGGTTGCAGGCACAGCTGAACGATCTCGTAAAGACCTTAGAAAAGGTCGAGGTCAGCAACGTCGACATTCCTTCCGAATGGATCAATTTTAAATGGATTGGCATTGGTGGAAAGAAGGGAGACGCTTCCGATACTTACGAACACTCCAAGGCTATCGAACTTATCAGCGGCAAAATCACTGCTATGAATGCTGATCGCGAACGCCTCTTGAAGGAATCCAAATTGTACAGTCAGAGCGATGGCGCAAAGGAGGCGAGGATCGCGTCGCTGGAGCGACAGCTTCGTCAAACGGAGCACGAGCGAGACGAGCTGAAAGAGACAACCGACGCTCTCCACCAACGAATGGCTGTTCGTGAAGGCAAGATTGGAGCTCTCGAAGAGCTCTTCCAAAACATTAACTCTAACCGAACCCTTGAAGCAAGAACGAGACGAAAATCTAAGGTCTCCATGGATCGTAGCCAGCGTTCGCTCCTCGAAGACGATGACGATGATGAAGATTATGACTGTGTTGATATCGACTCAACGGCGGGCGACAAGAGCGTCGCGCAAACATTTGAGGAGATGTTTGTCAATATTTGGACAAGCGTTACAGGTGGAAGTAGAGGCGAAGACGACAATGACGACGACTCGTCACGCGGAAATTCATCCCAAGCCTCAACTTGCCTCTCTACGAATTCCTACCACACCAAACAAATTGAAGATGAACTACAAGCAGCGGCTAGACAAGAATTCGAGGAACTCCAAGAAAGCCACCAACTCCTCAACGAAGACTACGAATCGGCTCAATTCAAGATATCTGATCTGAGTGCAAGACTCGAAGAAACAACAATCAAGGCCAACTCCTTCGAAAAGAAGGCGGGATTGAGAGAGGTAATGCTGAAGGACGTCATCCAGCAATACAAAGAATTGCAATTGGAGCATTCGTCTTCACTGGATCGAGTGGAGCAACTGAAGCAAAAGGTGAAGGTATTTGTGCAACGCGAACAGGAGCGAGAACAAGAACGAATAGCTTCAGAGGCTGTGACTGCCAATGGGAATGTCAAGGGTTCTTCGACTGTGTTGTTGGTAGAAGAAACTCCTACCTTTGACATGTCGGAACGAACCGAGAGGACTTCGAATGACGAAACCGTAGGAGAAGATTCTCCTTCGTCACCTTCCCACGGCTTGGAGAAGAACTTCGCGATGGAAGATTATGAGCGCCTCGAAACAGAATGTGATCGTTTGCAACACGAATTCGACGTTGCTATCGAAAAGATCAACGAGCTAGAGAAAGCACTGGAGACTGCCAAGGCCGAAGTTCGTGATTCCCAAGCCACTCAGGTAGAACAAGCGCGAAAAATTGCTCTTCTGGAAGGAGAAAAGACTGACTTGCAAGAGCGCCTTATCGAGGCCTCAGCTAAAATCATGGACTCCCAGTCCACACACACTCAGCGAACAGTACAAGTCGAAGACGAATTGCGTCTAGCAGAACTCCGGGAGCAAGAAGCTCGAGCAAAACAAGTGCAACGAGAGAAAGATCTATGGGAAGTCATCGAGCAATATAAGAAGCTTGCTGATGAAAAAGAATCCACGGAGGGGAAGGAGACAGAGGCTGAAGACCAGATGGTATTGACAGATAAGGTCAAAATTCAGAAAAGAGATTTGGTATACGAGTACCGAAAGATGGAGAAAGGTAAGTGGTTCCATCCAACATCTGCATTTCTAGAAATGAACTGTATCACCTCCCTCGTTACTTATTTACGTTTTGGTTTGGTCTAACATTCGTCGTCTTGGTTTCATCAATCGAATTCACCAGCCTTGGAAGAAGCCGTAGCAACTGAACAACAACTCGCATCAGACATGGAAAATGCAAAGAATGAAGCCGCAAAATGCAGAGAGGAGACGAAGGCAATTCGAAAACGCTTAGCAGGGTGTCATTCTCATTATAAACAACTGCGAGAAGAATATACCTTGCTTCAGCAGGAAAACGAAGAATTGGACTACCGTTTGTCCGAAGCTCAGACAAACGGACGCGTAGAATCGTTGAGCTAACATAACGACCAACTTCATTCACTGAGCTGACAACAAAAAAAGAAGCGAGTATCCGAGTATGAAACCACAAAATTGTGGTGACTATAGCTACTGAATCTGCTCTTTCGTGATGACAAGGATAGTATGGACAGGTGAGCCTGCTTGCATTAAGGTTGCAAACATTAACGTTTGGTGAAAGATGTACCAAGGGCATGATATTCCCTCAAGAAGAACCAAGAAGATGAATAACAACTAGTACCAGTAGTAGTACTACAGTGAAAAGTAAACCTAAATTTTTTTCATTATTTCAATAGCCAGTCACTCCTTCATAACAAGAAGCTTGTTGGCTATATTCTTAGTAGTAATGTCACTGCATGATTACAAATGCAGCCACTTGTTCTTGTTTGTATGCCCAGCAGGAGAGTCTTCTTGACTCTGTTAGCAGGACAAAAAGTCGGCAAGAACGACAACAAGGATCACCAACAGGCAGCAGCAGGAGCCGTAGTACGATTACTACTACTAGTAGTACAATTAGCTAGTAGTAGTAGTACTACTACTAGTTGTGGCAACAATGAAACTTATGCTGCTACTACTAGTAGTACTGGGCAAGTGGTATCCTCCCTCCAGTCAACTGCCACCAGAAATGAATAATACTCATATTATTACTCCCACTAGCTCGGCAAACCGTATTCATACCTTTAATCATAGTTACTACTACTACAAGGAGTAGGAACAAAAGGTACGTAGTAATAAAACTTTGACTATCGTGATTAAAACCATAACTGTACGCTACAGTAAATCTGTAATCATTCTACGTTATTTTTGTCTCAGTTCCTACTAATACCGTAGTACGAAAAAATCATTCAAGTTTACTTTTGTCTGAACCGAAGATTGCATGGCATGCTTGAATCGCTGTAGGCCGGACTCGCTTTTCGTTCCGATCATCAGCTCGCGCGCAACATACGGAATTTTCCTGAATCATTTTTGCGATGATCACTATCGTCAAAAAAATTCCATACTCGCTGTCTTTAATGCAACGGACCGCGAGCGATGTACTTGTACGTTACAGAATGTACCTGTACCTATGTATGTCACAGAGTTTCTTGGCCAAAACATCACGTCCCTTACAAGACTCGTACAAAAACAGGTCCGAGTGGATGGAATCAGACCAGTACTCTTGTACTGTTCTGATCGGCATATTCGAAGTACTTGGAGTGAGCAACTCATTTTTCCTCTATTGCCCATAGTAAATTTCATATTACGAAATCTACGTACCGTCGCCTCGCTCTTCAATGAAATCAGAATTGCAACTTCCAGACTTGTTTTAATAAGACTCATTCGTCCAACCGATGGTGACCTCACTTCGATTCAATATTTCAATCAATTCGAACAGGCAAGAGGATTAGTCTGTTCACAACAATTTTTTGTCGACTCCTCGTTCGTTTTTGTCTGAACAGTTGTGACAAATTTTCCGCACCAACAGCGCAATCCGAATATTAGGAGTACGTACGACGACAAACAAATTCCGTCACCACTTCTTGATTCAAGGTACAGGAACGGTGCGACAGCAGTTCGAAAAGAATAGCAGTCGCCAATTGATTTGTCCAGCGTTGAAGGAACTTCGTCAAGGTCGAGTCTTCCTTTTTCCGCGAAGGCCAAATCGAGAACAATTACAAACGTCGGAAACTGCGCATTTTACGCTAAAGAACAGAAAGATGGGGAAATTCTTGCGGGATTCTGGAGGGAACCTGGTTGCCATCGACGGAGGACTAGTACTAGAACGAACACTCGACCGGAAACCCAGAGACTGTGAATCCTGTGGGTTTTCCAAATTCGTGAAGAAAGACAAGGTCTTCATCATCCAGGGCGGGACCGGGTTGTCCTCTCTCCGGAGCAAGAGCAGCGATTCAACGAACAAAGAGAACGGGATGCTTGGCGGCTACAGCGGCGGGGGAGGCATGGAATGGATCTGTCCGGATTGTGCCGTCAAGCGGGGGCTGCCGCACGAATTCTACCACAAGAACTTTTACTCGCCCGCTACCATCCAGGAACGGCAAGAAGAAGAGGCACGCCGGGCCAAGGGCGGGATCGAAAAGCTGCTGGACCTCACGAGTTCGCTATGTCGATTTTAGAACGACCGCAAGCCACGAGCCATCAATGGATTCTGTTCGTTCTTTTCGTGAGCCGGTCAGCTACTTTAGACCGACAGCCATGTATAATAGATTAGACATTACGCACACGAGATGTCGTGTCAGGAATGGGTAGTACCGCGTTTCTGTCTCGGTATCGGAACGATTTCAAACCCTATCCAAATACTACAGCAATAAAGAAGTTGCAGAGAAGTAACGCATTGAAAGAAACAGATTACAATGAGACGAAGAAAAGAAACTCTCTCGACATATTTGCTTTCAGAAGAATCAAGTGATGCGGGATACATTATTGTGATGAATGACAACAACACTGTCCGTTGTTGACAGGAAAAAAATGAAAAAATATTCATATGTGTTACAAGTAAAAGACAATGTAAATTTTAAAATAAATCGAAGAAATCAAATGCCGAATTCCTAGTTTGGAGCGTTTCAACGCAATGCAACCCCTACTCTACTCTCTACTACTGTCAATTTTTTGTTCTGTGCCGCCTCAACAGAAGAACGATCCGTCCTCCATTCGGCCCGGTACTTGTGGCCCGGCCAAACTCGGAGTTTTGCGTCGTTTTCGATGTGTCGCTACTGATCAATTCCATGCCACTGCCGCTCCGTGTGCGCATTGCAATAATTGCTTTCCCGGTTGCTCGTCCGATGTTCCACACCATGCGCAGTTCTTCCGGATGTGTCGCTTGTGATGGTGATGAATCGGCCCCTTTTGTGCGCAGCAGGAATCTTGTGATATTGAACAGGACAATGCCAGGAATAAGATCGTTAGGAAAGAACAAAAGAATCTTTTTTCGCCCTTTTGCAAAACCGTCAAATTGCAAATTTTTACTGGGAAAATGAAATAGTAGAGTACAAAATCTTATCCGAAACTTTTGATGCAGAAGCAATGCCAGAAGATCATTTGGCAGCGTGCGTAAAAGCAAATATATATCGTATTTCGTTTCTTTCTTTGTTGAAAACGAATTTTGAATTTCGTTCTGTCACGATGACGCAGATGCTATGGCAAGAAAGTATGTTGCCATCGTAGCATCATCTTCTGCTGGTGCTTGCGTCTGAGCTCTAGGGAGTTCGGGAGTTGCTTGATCCAACAGCAGAATCGGTATTATTGGAACAACAATTAGAGTACTAGCTAGTATTACAGCTACTTTTTGGGTTTGGGGTTCTCGGATCGGGGTTCTCGGTGTGAGCACGGTGTGTTTCTCATGGTGATTTTTGTTTCGGTGATTGTACCCCACTAGCTGTCATCCGGGCCATCCCCGGGCTTCCTCCCTTCCGCGCCGCAGCGAGCCGAAAAGCCGCTCCCGCACTGCCGGGCTCGATTCCCTCGCCACGCAGACAATGCCCCCGCCCATGGGGAATTCCCTTCCGCAAAAGGCGGGCAAGCTTCCCCCTCCGACCCCGTTCCCTTCCACGATCCGGACGTCCCCGCCCGATTCCAGGACGCAGAGGACCCCCGGGGCGTGGTCCCAGCTCTTGGCCACCGAAAGCGAGGACGACGGCGACGGCACCTGGAGGAAGCCGCAGGCCTTCCCGGACGCCACGGCAAAGTACTTGGCGAGCGATCCGCAGCACAGCTCGGTGGGGGGTAGGCCCTCCCCGAAGGGCCGGGGGGGAGGCCCCTGGAGTTCCCTGTCCGGTTCCGGCCCGAGCGAGAGCAGGTAGGGCGGGGCATCCTCCACACATGCATCTCTTTCGCCACCGCTTCGGTCCCGGGGGTCCGAAGCGGCGCCCCCAAAATCGTATCCGGCCCGCCACCGGTCGGGGAGGTTCCGGGGGAGGTCGAGAAACGAGAACGGTGCGCTGTTGTTGCTGCTGCTGCTGCCGTTGTTGCCGCTGCAAGGACCACCACGATAGTAGCGGAGCCCGTGGCCCTTGACGGCCACCATGGTGCTCGATTCGATCGACGGGGAACAGGGGTTTCCCAGCACCCCCACCACCGGCAAGCCGTCGATGCAGAGGGCCAGGCCGATGGTATAGTGCCCGCCTTTCAGAAAGCCTTTGGTTCCGTCGATGGGATCGAGGATCCAGCAGCGGCCATTGGTGTCACTCTCACCCTTTCTGTTTCCACCGCCGCAAACCCCATTGGTTCCGAGGTCGATGGCGTCCAGGAACTCCCCAAAACCCAGCCCCGGATCCAGCCTCGATGCCAGGCCGTGGGAGCGTTCCGAGAGGCCCCCCTTGTGGTCCGGGGCTCCCCTCAGCAGCGAAGCGTCTTCCTCCGCCAGGAAGGAATCGCCGCCAAAGGAGCGGTGCAGGTTCGAAAGAACGTATCCCTGGATGGCCAGATCGAGGGCCGTCAGAGGCGTTCCGTCGGCCTTGTCCCTTCGAAAGGCACCTTCGCTTTTGCTCTCGCTCGTGAATTCTTGGCACCGAGGCCGGAGCTCGAGGCAGAGCCGCAGGGCGTTGGCCACCAGCTCCGCCGCCACTCCCGCCTCTTCGTGGAGGTCGCCCCCCCACGCGGCGGGTGATGATGCCTGTGCCTGTGCCTGCAACTCCGATTCCGATCCCGCTTCGGCCCGTCCCGTCCCGTTCCGACGGAAAGCCCTCGACCGGGCGGTGCCGGGCATCGGCCGGAACGCGAGGGCAGCGGCAGCGGGCAGCAGCAGCGAGCGCGAAGGCGAAGGCGAACGCGAAAGGGACCCTTTTGCTCGGAAAAAGGCGGCGAGGGCGGTTCCAACGAGGAACGCAACGACCGGTAGTCTTGTGTCACCCCGCAGGCAGCCGCTGCTTCGGCTCCTTCGGATCCGCATCCGCATCCTCCCGGCCTTGTAGCGTGTGCCGGAACAGCGAAACGGCGAAACGAACCCGGTAGCAGTGTGCAGTGTGCATGCCAATTGGTAGAAAGTATTTTTCACTTCGTACCGTACCGTACATCCTCGTACTCGTACCCATAGTACTCCGCAACTCCGAGAGATCTTTTCGGACTTGCGGTTACAGTAAGGTTATGGATGTATTATTGGTACATATGTATTTTATTATCGGCTGGTACGTACGATACGATCGCACCGGTTGATTCACGGAGATGCGGGACCTTAGCCGCTTGGTGCTCCTGCGCGATTGCGCGCGACGATCCGCGGGTGTTGAATCGTATTTTCGTGTCGCAAGTGTGTCGCAGTGTCACGGGACGACGCCGAAAAACATGCATCCGTTGGGGGTGGATGCGTTTTGAAAGAATTTTTCGGATCCGCCACCGGCAACCAGCACGAACGAAGGAACCCTTTCGAGGCCCCCCTCCCGAGCAAGAGAGGGGTTGTTTCCATCGCCGAGGGACTCGTTCCCACTACAACAAACCAGAAGATCTCCATCGATCTCCACGTCCCTGGAAGAATCTCGCATTTTCGAAGCTTCCATAGAGGCAAAGCAAGACTCTAGACCGGGTACTTGCTGGTACCACATGCGAAACAAAGACAGGAGACCAAGCAACCGACAAAGCCTTGCCCGAGAGAACAGACTCGGTTCGTTTGCGCAGAGCACAGAAGAACAAAGAGCCAGAGAGCGAGTGTTCGGAACGTGACGATGGCGCCCAAAACCATTGCTATCCACCGGCACAAGGTGGACCCGGTGTCTCCCATTCCGGTTCGGAGAGACGACTTTCCGAAAAGCCAGCAGCACCAGCAGCTGCCTCCGTCCCGACACCAGCGGTCGAGATCCCAGCCACTCACGCTGTCCAAACCCATGCTGATCACCTCGGCCGGAAGATCAGCAAGTGCGCAGGGAAGGGAGCTGGACGACCTCCGGATCAGATACGAAGAAACGAAGCAGAGGATGGAAAAGATGAAACGCGATAAGAGCGAAAACAACAAGAGGCTCATCGAAATGAGCGGACTGGTCAAGAGTCTCCAAGACATTCCCGTGGGCATCGACAAAGCGGAAGGCAGCACCTTTGTGAACGTTCAGCGAAAGATAGAGGCCATTGGTTTCGAGATGAAGGAAGCAAAGAAGCGGTACGATGAGTTGAGAAACGAAGAAAGTTTCCAGACCGACACCATCAAGGAGCAGGAATCGCAAATCCGATCCATGGAGAAGCAGATCCAGCTCTTGACCGAACGCATACAACAGGAGGAGCAGGACCAGCAGGAACAGAAGAAAATGGCCGAAGAGAAACAAAAGGCCAGCACGGCAGAACTCGAACAAAAGATCATGCTGCAGGACATGGAAATCATGAACCTAATGGGAGAAATCGACATGATCAAGAAACACAACAGGACCCACGGTCAGGACAGGCAAAACACGATCGGGCAGGACATCAAGCTGCTCGAGGCGAACAACGCCGCCAAGTACGAAGAGATCAAGAAAATGGAGGACAAACTGGCAAAGATGCGCGAGGAACAGAGAGCACAAAAGATGGAGCAAGAGACTTTCCTCAAGAAACAATCCGAAGAATCCAACGGGTTTGTGCTCAAGCCCACGGCGACAACCTTTGCCGAGATCAGCAAACTGGAAGACAACCTAGCAACTTTGCGGTTGGAACAGGAAAAAAGCAGCAACGTCGCAGATGCACCGAAAAAAGAAGAGGCCACCGAAAAGAAACCCGCTTCTAGCAGAATACAAAAACACCAACCCTGGAGCATGGACCTGGCCTGGAAAGACAGCATGCTCGAGGGAAACAAGAAGAAGGAAGCCGAGCTCGAGGTGGTTGCCAACAACGATATCACCTACGGTGAACCTGTATCTCCCGAAAGTGACCAGCGAGATCAAGAATTGTTGGGTCTGCCGTCTTTTGGACAGAAACAGCAAGTAGAGGTAAAATCGGCTACAAAGAAAACCGAAAACAGTGCCTTTGTCGGCATTAGCAGTCTCTCCGTGGCATCTTGTGGTTCCAGTTCCGAAGAAAGCGAGAGCGAATCGGAGGGATCCGTCATATTTTTGAACAAGCAGCGCCACAAGAACCCCTTCGAAGTTTCCAAGGACAACAACACCTACGATGTGAAAAAGGACAACGACCATTCGGATACCTCTGCCACTGTTGGATCGTCGTGTGGAATGTCGCGGGATGGTGATTCCGCTTCGGTCGAATCGTCTAGTTTGAGCAAACCGACGATGCCGAAAAGAAGTGTTGAACTCATGCCAACGGACGATGGAAGCATCGAAGCCATCGAAGTGGGACACCTGAGGAAGACCGAAAGCACCGAATCGTGTGACGGAGCATATTCTGACAACGAATCGTCCGTAGAATACTCAAGCGGCGAGTCTACCACTGGGAATGATACCAATGGAGATTCCTCGAACGATAGCTCGGTCGGAGAGTATACTAGTGGAGAGTCAACGAGAACGGAGACTCGAAGCGTTCTTGCACAAATACCCGAAGAAGGAGAATTGGAGGAATCCGAATCTGAGTGGGACCGTGAGCATACCTCCGTTTTATCGAAGGGACCAAGCACGCCGAAAACGAACGATGAACCGAAATCCAAAGACGACAACGTTTCTGACTTGCTTCTCACCAAACAACTCAAAGATGCGGAGGATAAGTACGAAAACCTCAAGAAAGACTACGAGGAAAAGATATCGATGTCGGAGTCGCAAGCGAAGAAACTCGACGAGTACAGCGATAAGATTTCGACGACGGAGTCAATAGTGAAAAAACTCGAAGAGGAAAATCAAAAGCTTCGAAAGGAGCAAAGCAATGCTTCGAAGAAAACGTGGAAAGATTCCGCAGATAAAAAACGCTTGAAACGCATCAAAGAGGAAAACAAAATGCTTTTGAAAAACATGGAAAAACAGAACGACATCATGATGAAAGCCGACCAGAACTTCGACGACCTTCGAAAGGAGCACCTGGCTACTTTAGAAGAGCTCGAGGCGAAAAAGAAGCGATACGATCAGCTCGTGCTAGATTTTACAAAGCTTGCTGATCGCAACAAGGATGCAAAGGATTATTCTAGGTTGCAAACCTTGCACAACGCTGTTGTCATGAAACTCGCTGACATGGGAGAGGAGAACGAGAATCTCGAGAAACAACGCGACGAGGCTATGGATCAAATCGAGCGCAAAAACGCCCAGATCCGGGGCTTCGATGGGATTATTGCCGAATACAACAAGGTGGAGTATGATCTGAAAGTTTTGCGAGAAACGCACGAGGAGACAGTAAAGGAGCTCCACGATCTGACGGAAAAGAACAAAGAGATGCAATCATCGTACGACAACGACTTTGCTAACGCTCAGCAGCTCGAGTCTCTAGAGCAAGATAAGGCAAATGCAATTGCGGAGATAGAAAAATTGATGAAGGCGAACATGGATCTTTCAGCTATGGAGGTGCAGCAAAACGAATCCGAGGTTCGAGTTACCATGCTAGAAGAAGAACTGAAGAAAACCCAGGAAGAGCTGGGGGTTGCAAAGAATAAGTCTAGTAATAGACAAAGGCAATTGAAGGACGTCATTGCACAGTACAAAGCTTTGAAAGAAGAGCACAGTGGTACATGTGATAAACTAGCGCGTCTAGAAACCACTGTGAATGGTCTCGGTAACGGCAGTGCCATCCAGGAAATGAAAAAGCTGGAAGATGCAGTAGAGCAGGCAAAGAAAGAAGCTCAGAATGCTGTCAAAGCTAAGGAAGCCCGCGAAGGTGACATGCGGATTGTGTTGCAACATTATGAAAAACTCCAAATCAAATTCGAAAAACTGAAGGCGAAGAGTGAATCTACGAAGAGTGAAACAGCTGTGGAAGAAGAGGAAAAGAAAGACGAGCAAGATGTTTTTTGGCCAGGCGAAGAGAGAGATGCCAGAAAGGAGAAAATCGAGGAGCTGGAAGAACTATTAAAGGAATCCAATGAATCGTTGAGCTGGAGGGACGAGGAGATCGCGAAGAAAATAGAAGAGTTGAAGGAAGCAAGAAAACAAATCGAAGACCTCGAAATTGAGAAGGAGCAACTACAAGCTGATGTGTTGAATATGCAATCTCAGTTGGCACAGCGTGAAGCCAAGGATGCGGAAGATCGAAAGAAAGACGAGAAGGATAATTTGCGAACAGTAGTCGCCGAGCACCACCGACTGCAAAAGACCTATTCCAGCCTTCAGAGAAAGTTCGAAGAGGTCAAGTCCGAACTAGTGAAGGTGAAGAATCAGGCGAAAATTCACGAGCAGGAAGAAAAACATGCACAAAAACGTGTTACCAACATTCAAACTGAGTACGTAAATCTCCAGGCAGACTACGACGTGGTGGTTGCCCAACTGGAACGGTTCAAGGTCGAAATGGCCACTTCTGTCATCGATTTGAAAGAAAAGGGAACTATAATTCCTGACATGACTTCGAAGGAAACCGAGAAGAATAATCCTGTCATCGCTAGTCCTGATATCTCTCCAAAAGGAAGCGACGTGGCCATTCCGCTCACAGCTTCAGAAGAAAACGAAACGACTATTTCTGACACGGCTGGGAAAGAAAACAAAGAAGTAATCTCTCTTATTGATTACAAAGAGAACGAAAAAGCCGTTCCCGAGCTTACTTTGGAAGAGAAAGAGAAGGGCATTATCGACGCCGCTTCGGAAGTCAACGACATGACTATTGTTCACGAAGATTCGTTTGATTACGAATCGGTTTCTGATGATTCGAACGGAATTGCAGAATTCTGAAGGAAAGAGAGAGTAAACCGCAATCCATTCGTTACCAAGGGAGATATAATGCAATACGGGGACTGCTCTTAATTGATAAACGTACAACGATAACATCAGTGAATCAGATATATAATTGATAACAACATTTGAATGTAAACATGTAAACCTTCATGTTGAATCTATAGAATTTCTGTATAAGTCGGTCCCAACAACACTGCAACTTGACAAAGAGTCTAGTTTTTACCTCTTTGCAGCAAGTGCTGCGAGAAGGGGAGTAGCAAGACTATTAGTGCTGAATTCATATGCGTGATCGCTAGTCCTAGACACAGAAAGTTGTCGGAACGAGAAGCACTTCCACTGGGATAATGGTAGCTTAGAACTCCTGTGTCCAACAATTGACAACGAGTTGCCTTGCTGCTATCAGTATCAGCCAAGAAGGAGCAGTATTGGTGCAACATGCAACATTGGATGTTATTTTAGGTCAATATGTTCCTTGAGAAAGTATTTCCAGTACGTGGACTGACATCATTACAAAAAATCCATAGAAAAAATGGTGTCGTTGGACAAGATTTTGTGATGTCAGTAGGCACACTTGACATATTTTACACAGGAAAAAGATAGCCTGTAATCTAGGGCTCGATCATAGATCTACTGGCCAAGCCTATACGATTTCAAAAATGAACCCTTCAAGGTCCTCGCATCTTCCTTTGATCACTGGATTGCTGGCTTGCTTTATCTTTTCTTCCCCCGACCTTGTTGTGTTACGTTCTGCCACCACCCTTGGCTGGCTTCAGCCTTGACTCATCTGGAGTCTTCACTGTTTGGGAGCTCTTTTGCTTTCCACCCTCACTCATTATTGTTCACCAATTCTCCTTTATAATTTCATGCTGAGGAATTCATACATGTGATCACTAGTCCTTCAAGTAGAAAGTCTTAAAGTATCATCAAATGCTCCTGTGAACTGAATAAAATTATAAAGAATGAGAATATGTCTAGAATCACTAGACTGCATCCACAAGTCATTTTGTGTCAATTCTCTGATGCCTCTCGCTCATACTACTACTACTTTCTTCACATCTACTATCTACCAAATTCTCATAACACGTCATCATTTACTCAAAAGAATCTGGTTTGCCAACATCGATTGTGGTTTGCCTCACAATCTCTGGGTTCCGGTTTCCCCAACAATTAGACCCACCTTGCAGTTCATTGCACTGCTATAACATCTGCACTAGTAGTAGTAGTAGTAGTAGTAGTAGTAGTAGTAGTAGTAGTAGTAGTAGTAGTAGTAGTAGTAGTAGT